GTAAACTGACTATAACTCAATTAAAAAAAAAACTCAGTCCACAATCAGACTAGCCAGATTTCAAGTGCTCAGGGGCCAAACAGCTAGTGGCTGCCACATTGGACGTTGTCATTGTCACAGAAAGTTCTTTTGGATATGCTGCTCTGGGAGCCTTCAGGGATTTTTCAGCAGAGGGAAGGCAGCACCAGCTTTCATTTTAGAAATATCTCCTTCACAAGATTGGGGAAGGTATAGCTCAGTGGTAGAATGTGTGCCTAACGTGCACGAGATCCTGGGTTCAATCCCCAGTACGTTCATTAAAAATAAATAAATAAACCAAATTACTCCCCTCCCCTCCAAAAACCTAGAAATATCCAAGTGTGCACTGGAGCATCAACAAGAAATTTGCTTTGTGAAAACAGGCAGTGTCAGTGGCAAAGGAAGAAAGGAACAGATTCAAGAGATACTTAGCAGAGATTTGGGGAAGAGAATTGAACTTGCCATTTGTCCCCTTGGGAACTGTTATAGTGCCACACAGTGAGGCAGGTCACCTCTTAAATGTCTGCTCTTTCATTTCAAGTCACTTTTATTTAAATGTCATTTTACCTTTTTAAACAGTTATTTTATCTTAAATCACAGATTAACTCTTCATAATAAAGTATAGCCAAAATGTTCCCTATAAGTTACTATAGCTGTTTAGCATGCTAGCTACCAAAAGTTCCAAAAAAGATGAACAACAATCTTAAGATTCTTCTCTAAGCATTATGTTCTCCAGCTTTTATTGAATGACTGCTATGTGTCAGACATTGAGGATAAAATGAGGCAGGAGAGATGTGATCTCAGTCTTCCATCTCTGAGGTGAAACATTTCAAAACAAAGGAATAACGTTAGATACCAATGGCATCGACTCCCTCCACTGACTCCGTTTCACGTCTGGTGTTTGAAACAGTGATTTATCTTAGGTTACTGTAGTTAACCAAGTATCTGAGCAGCTTCGAGAACATCTGGCTATGGGCATTTAAGGGTGAGAGCAGTTTCATCTCTCAGCAAAAGCCAGCAGAAGCTCATTTCCTTCGATGTGCCTGGAGAGGATGGGCTTTGCAAGCAGACAGCCCTGGGTTTGAATCAGGGTCCTGACACTTCCTGGCTGTATGACTATATACAAGTGTCACCTCTCTGAGCCTCAGGTTTCTCACTTGTAATACAGGAGATAATTCACTTGGTAGGATCAAATAAGTGAGGCAATGCAGGAGAATGGCTTGGCAGAATGTCTAATACTTGGAAAGTGTTCAGTAAATTATGGCTTATACCAGTCATTCATCCCTGATCTATTCAGTGCTGCCAGCCCAGGCAGGTGAGCTAAACATAATGATTGCCTCTCTTCCCCCATGTTCTCCACCATTCAGTTCTGATCAAAGCCAGGTTGGTTGGGCAGAAGTAGTTCTGCTCCCCCTTGCCTTGGAATTTTATATGGAAAAGATTTGTTATATATTCTTTATTTGGTAAGAGTCCCTCCTGGCCTATGGCCAGCTTCTCCCCCAATTCACATGGGAGCTGAGGTATGAAGTAGGAACCAGAACTTGAGCTAAAATCTACTACCATCCCTTTCTGCTGACTCCTGTCACCAGTGACTAATAGTGACAAATTCAGGGAGCACAAATTAGATTTACTTCTAACATAGAGAAATGCACACAGTAAAAACGAACTATTAAAAATCCACAGATGATTTCTACATATTTTCAGCATGTTCCCCATAAAGCATCAGTCATACTATGGGAAACCCAAGTGTGGGCCATCTGGCTGTCTCCAAGCCCTCCAGCTGGCTCTGGTCACTTGCAGAGTTGGAAACCAAAAATGTCCTTATGCTCCCAATGGGACTGTGTTCTCACGGCCACCTCTGGTCCAATTTCTTGTTTATGCTGAAATCTGAGTCTCCTTCTAGGCTTGCCTCTTTACTACTGTTTTGTTCCTTCTCCTGGCATGGATCCAAAGAAGGAAATCAGTCCCTTTTGCTTTTAATTTGCCAAGGCAACTGTTGGCCTAACACATTTTTTTTACCAAGGGTGTGGTGTAAAGGTGTAGGGTAAATTTTTTTCAGAATGTAGAAGTGATTAGGCAGCACCACAGCCGGCTTCATGGGTGTGCAACTAATGCAGTCCCCCAGGCACCTGTACTCCGAAGGGCCTGCACTTAGGGTTTCATGCTCTGAGGCCATTGTCTTGAAATTCTCAATGGCTTTATCTTTGAATTTTTGTTTGTAAGTGAAGTCTGATGGGTCAACGGAGCGAGCGCCAGGGACTCACACTCAGTCCTGCCTCCTGCCAGCTCCTTGCCTTTCTGGGTCAGAATCTCAACTGCATCCTCTACCCCCCACCCCAACCCAGGCAACTACCTCCTACCTCTGCATAGTGCCCCAGGCCCCCTCCCTACCCCTCCCTACCCCTACCCTGTGACCTATCCTGCATTCCCTGCCTCTCACCTGTCCACTGCAGGTTCGGATGGCGGGCACGTGGGAACGGGAGAAGCCTGGTCTGACTTCCCCGCCAAAGCTGTGGCAAGGTACGGGATCTGGAGGCTGGCGGGAGGGGCAGCTTGCAAAAGTGGATGGTGTGCGCGTTTGCCGAGTCACAGGGCGGAATCCCTGGTGTCTAGAAGGATCTGCACTTGTGGAGACCCTATGCCTGAGGGAAAATGAGTTAAAGAGCAAATTTAAACCAGTGTAGCAGAGAGAGGGAGAGTGAGAGAGAGAGATTTATATTCTAACAGCACCTTTTTTGCTACATTTGAACATTTTCATTTTCATTTTGCAACAGGCAGGTCCTGGCCATCATTCTGATGTTCAGTAGCCATATCTGCGCAGGGAGTTTCTCGCCCATCAACGTTCCCCACCAGGTTTCTTTGATTCTTCTGGACTCCCATGGACTCTCCTCATCTTCCTCTTTCCCTGTTCACCTCTCCATCCTTCCTCCTAGCCCAGCCCCAAACCCCAAATTGTGTACACTGTAATATGTGGAGTTATTTAACACTCTCCATGTTTCCATCTTCCACCTTCCAGACTGAGTTCCTGCTAACTTTCCATGATGAGAAAATGTCTCCTGAAACAAAAAACAAATTTCCCACTAAGAGAAATTCTACCATCAGTTTTTTGAATAGTAGAATTTTGCCCCAGTTGTGTATGTGTAAATCACCAATTACTTCCCACCAGTATTTACCAATTAGTCATATTCCCCAGAACATTAGTCCCACAAAAGAGCCCATTAGAAAGAAAGAAAGAAAAGAAGAA